GGGGGGGCGCGACTAATCCGCACCACCGTCGCCGGTCGGTGGGAACAACGGCAACGTTCATCCTCACGAGGATGATAATTGCAGTCGATTAGAGCCTTTGCATTGCCACCGCCGGACGTGAGAGCAACTATGCGACTAGTCACGAACAAGGACGAAATTAAGTAGCACGAAATTCGTAGCACAATTCATCGGATTTGAAAAAAAATACTCAGGAAAGAACTGTCAACACAAAGAGGAGATTTAATAGTCGAAAGAGAAAGTAGTAGGTTTATCGCAAATCATTTGTTGCTGATAAATAAATTGATCCCTCATGTAGAAGGAATGCAGAATTGCATATATTAACGCAAAAAAGCGTGGCATTGTATGTAAAAGGATTTTTGATTATAATAGATTTTGATATCAATTTCTGATATGTATAATAGAAGTACATCGATGCGTTGGCGGAAGATAAAAAGTCAGAAGCCACGAAGAAAATCCAATTAGAAATGCCATCCAATTAAACTTTCGCAGCGGTAGAAGTCATCGAAGATTACGTTTCTAGAGTCTGATAGAAACCTTATGAAATACATTCTGCTCTTTCGCAGACACTGCTGACAGTTCCATAAACTTAATCCGCATTGATTCATTCATTCGATGACACATTGATGTCGTTAAATAATTGATAAATAAAGTTGCGGAAAGGCAGTATCGATAATCTATTAGAAATATAGAAATCTCTTACGCAAAAATCTGACGAAGATGATCTCTTTAATCTAACTGCGTTCGCGGATTTCGCCTTGATATAAAAAAAATAGAGAAATAAAAAGGAGAAGATTGGCGAGTGGATTGTTAATCTTTATGCATGTGAAAGAGGATGCGATATTTTTTTCCCTTGCTTTACAAGCTATTTCCTCGCTTCCTCGTTATATTCTTTCCTTTGACTGACGAGAAACGTTATGGCAAGAGACGCTAATATTTTTTGACGGTCGATGTTTTCTTTCCCCTCCCCCTCTCGCTCCCTCGCTCACGAAACGTAACGCGCGCCAGTGTCATTTCTACAGTGCGAGTTGGCACCGAGCGGATTATTTGACGCGACCGGATCTGTGTAATTTGAGATAATGCACTCGACAAGCAGATTGATCTCCGCTTCCTAACGTCGTTGCACTAGTTCCATTCGCAAACACCGTTGGCCCCGTCTGGCAGTAAACAACAATAAGTTGACGTGTGGGCGGAAATGCGAGCGAAAATAACGTCATTCAGAAACAAGTTAAAAATTTATCCATTTCACTTCGAGAGATGGAAAATCTTTTGAATGATTCAAGAACACAATTATGTAATCTATAATCATGATAATAAATATTGGAGAATAAACTTCTCGTTGAAATGTAAAGAATTTAAGTGAACCCTATGTTTAATAAAGAATATTTGAAAATAATATGTATAAACTTCTTGAAAAAATATTTATATGCGATTATCATTAACATTGCGACATAATTTTATTAGTTATGGAAGAAAAATAATCATATTTGTAACAATAATAGAGAATCAAGATTTTTGAATTTTATGCATTACTATTATATAGTAGTAATGTTTCATCATTCATATCACTGACATATGTACAATTCCACAAATAAATTGTTTTATCAAAATTTTTTCAAATATTCTGTTCCTTTAAATATTCCATTTCAGTTTTTAATGCTTAAACATACGGATAAAGTGCGTCAACAGGCATAGAGCATTCCAAAAAGAATGTAATACAATATATACAATATTCTACTATTTTCTATCTTTTTAAACTCAATGTATCTCAATATTTATTCTTTCAAAAACTTAAAGTTAAATCTTTCTTTAACAAAAGCATTGCTGTATCAATAGTTTTTAGTTTGGATAATTAAATCAAATTAAAAAAAACAAGTAACAAAATCCTATTATTTAATTTCGGGTACATTTTATTTCAATACAAGTTTATAATCTAAATTTTGATAACATATTGATTTTATTTTTAAAAATATTCTTATAAATGGGAGGTAGAGATATTTTTATTAAACTTCCATTAAAAAAGTTGATTTTAATGTCAAAGATTTATCGGCAGAAAATCTTGTGAGTCAGTATTGACATCCACGGAAAGCCAAATAAAATGTTATTCGAAAAGCCAGACAGTCCGAACGGAATTAGCGACCAGAAACGACCTCGGTGACCTCGCCGAATTTTTTCAAGTGTCTTGGGGTCGATCCGAGAGAGGAATGTTGGGCGGTTTCTGGAAATGGTCGGCCTTTTCTTGTTCCCGGGAATACTTCAATCTCTGGTTAACATTTCCGCCCGTTTTATTGCGACTAGAGAGAAACATCTCTGTGCACGGATGACGGAAAACTTTATTAACTCCACGATACGGTCAATTATATAACAGTTAACTATTTACATCAATTTAGTCTGGAATTTCTTCAATTTGTCTTGGCATAGTCTAATATCTTTGAAGAATTTTAACTTAATAAAGTAAAACACCTTCTCTCATTAAAGGCAATACACAATACTCGTTGGAAAATACATCTTACAGAAACTTTAAAAGCTTCGCCTCTATAAATTTACAAATAGATAAAGTTAGATAATCTTGAAAGTTTATGTTAAAGTAAATTATAACGAAATGCATTAAATAAAGATTAAGATAAAAATATCGAGCAGCAACGAAATTAAAAGTAACATCATTAAATTATCTTAACCTCAATAGATATTTAAATTAGGTTAAGTACTGTTTTCGAGAGCATGAAATTATTTATCTTTTCGAATTGTAAATATGAATGACAAATCATCGACTGTAAACGAACAAATAAGCAAACTTTGGACCTTACGAAGAAGACATAATCATACTAATCATACTAATGATTATCTTGCAACATGATAGTTGAGGTCATGAAATGATCGTTCATGTATCGATAATCATAGATCGCATTAATTTTTTTACATATGCGATAGTTGCGAAAAGAATCGTGGCAAATAAAACTTTATTTCCTCGTAACATTTTATAATTTTTTTTCATTATTACACGATATTATTATAAGCTATTACAAGAACAGAAACTGTGTTGCGACAAATATTAGTAATTATTATATTTTCTTATAATCAAACAAATTCAATATATAAAAAATATTGATTCAGTAAAAATAATGATGTGCGCGCGTATCTATTCAATTTTAAGGACTTTTAATTATTCAAACATTTAATTTTCACAATATTTGTAGCATTATATTTCGAAATTATAATGATAAATGCGCCGTAGCAAAAAAACATCGTTATTAAATTCAGAATTGCTATATCGTCATTTATTTGGATTGCAATTTCTGCAAAAAAATTATATTAATGTTTCATGTATTCAGTATTGCGGGCTTATTTAAACATCAGATATTTATTTAGGCGAAAGAATATGATCTCTGAAACAATCTCAGAAATTTATGAGAGAGGGTTGCACAAAGCTCTTTTCTGTTTTATTAGGATCATCAAAAGCCATTCCGAATTAATTATATATTAGTAAAATTGTTTAATTTAGCAATAATTCTAAGAGGTATAACAACGTAATATTAATAATTATTATTTTAATAATTTCGATAATTATATTTAGTAAACAAAAAATATATCGCAAAATATATATTTCTACGCAATATTTTTCTCTCTTATTTGTTTTTATTATTACACTGTTATATTGTACAATTTCATTTGTCATTCCAGAAATCAACATTATAAAATATTTATATCGTTGTTATATTTTGTAAATTTAATGCAATATTGAATTATTATTGCTTTTGATTTTTATTTAAAAACATTTATGCATAAATGAATATTAATTTGCTCAGTTGTTTGTCTATTGTAATCGTAATTAGCAACATCAGAAAGAGCTTTGCGAGAGAGACAACCTATTTCGGAAATAACAAGTTCCTAAAGCGATAATTGATTAGACCACGGAAACTTATTGTTTCCTCGTCAATCTTTCACAATGTACACAATGTATAAAGTGTTATATATACATTGTGTATGTATATATATATATATATATATATATATATATATATATATAGATAATTCGATGAAAGAGACGAAAACTTCTTTCTACTTGTATTACATATTGCGTTTTTGCTCTGCGTTTATTCACCCAACTCACGCGAGATCGTAGACTCTCGTGCAAGATATCGCGAATTTATCAGACCCACCCAAATATCGGAGAGGACAAATTCTCGGAACAGCTGCTGCAGGATCGATATTATTACACGATAACATTGTCAATACTATCTACACTAATAATTGGCATATATTATTTATTGGCAAATATGTATAGTGTCAAGATATTACCGATAACGAGATTGTTACACAATGGCATACAATGGCATCAATGTGAAGATCTTTAAAAGCTTTCTATCGAGAAAATATCAGATGTTCACTTTGAAGACTGCCTACTCTAATGTAAAAATATAGAACATCGAAGTATTGATAATATGCCACTTCTGACATAACCAGGATAAGCATAAATGTATGAAACGATACTCCATTTTCGTACGAATAATGTAGCAAAAGTTGATCAATATATGCACATATATAATACAGGCCTCTCTTAAATTGCTTTCTACAATTACAATTGAAATAAAACAATTGTACATATTAATCTGCCGAAAAAAAATGAGATAAAATTTATAGAAAGCTAGATATTAACTGCAGTAAATTTAAAAGTGAATTTATTCATTTAAAAATAAATTAGAATATTCTATTCGCACCAACTAAAATATTCAATCAAAGCAAGATGTCGCGATCAAAACTCTTGAAACAATTATTACGATCATCGAAAAGTTATCATCGACGAAATGTTATTAGCAACATGATGGAATGTCAAAGTTATCTTATCGAGCAAGATCGGTGCGACGACCGCTTAAAAATAATACAATAATTACGACGAGGAATGCGAGGCCATTTTTGCCGAAGAGTCCACGCACCGAGGACCGTAAGAGACGATTAAAACTACGGGTGACAGAGATACTCACCTCTTTGTCCGCTAAACAAACGCTGACGAAGACGAAGACGACGACGACGTGTCGAGCCAACACCTCGCTAATCCGCCCACGATCCGGTGCGCCGTCATTTGTGATGCGAATTCATATACGCGTGGTGGCGGCGGCGGTGGCGGCGACGACGACGATGATGATGATGATCGATGCCAGACAGACAGCACTCTTTCGACGAGCTCTCTTTACGACGTCCAATCGTCGAGGATGTCGTTCGACGATATCGACGACGACGGCGGCGACGAGAAAGGCAATGACATCGAACGTCGCTGGTGGGCCGCCTCGTTTTCACTCGACACTCGTGTTTACACGGCACTGCTCGGTCGCTTCTCACATTCCTTCGTCCGCGACGCAATCCTCTCGACTCTCGACCCTCTCTCTCTCTCTCTCTCTCCCTCTTTCCTTAGGTCACTACTTGCTCTCGTTCTCCGTTTCGCGAAACTTCGTGCATCACTGATGGATCGCCTCTTCTTTCTTGATTCTTCCTTCTCTCTTTTTTCGTCTATCTTCCTCTCCGCTTTTCCTTCTCTCTCTTCTTCTATCGAGTTACCTCGCCCACCCGCGACACTTTTCGTTCTGTCTCTTTCTCTCTATCTTTTTTGCTAGTCTCTTTCGCAGATATTCGCGCCAACAGAAGGTGACTTCCGGACAGTTTCCTCGCCGATGACGATGGTGCGCCGCGCGCGCGATCACACTTCCCACTTTTTCTCTTCTCTCACTCTCTCTCTCTCTCTCGCCCTCCGCTCTCCTCTCTCTCAATTCACCACTTTTGCCTGTCTCGTTTCCTCGCATTCGCACGAGCGCGCGTACACACACATGAATACACAGCGTCGCGCGCACGGGAAAGCGTACACGTCGTCGTTGACCGTTTTTCCGTTATTCTGTTGCCGTTTCGATCGCGCGACTCGCCTCGGCGATCTCACGCGCGCACAATCCGGAACACGAATCTCTCGCTCTCGACGCTCGACACTCGAATCTCGGTCCTGTTTCTCGAAGACGAAACGGTCCCGTGGAAACGGGACGGGCGCACGCACACTCGCGACACGGTGACACACGAGAAAGCTAGAGAGCGTCAGAGTGTGTTCGACGCAGTCGACGATACTCGAGACGCCTCCGGCTGTTCGACGCAGCTGCCATCTCGCGGTGCTCCGTGAACTCTCGTGACGTAGTGGCGCGAAAGTACAAAGTATCTCTCTTCCCAGAAGGTCAAACTGAAAAATTTCTGAAATATTAATAAACTTTGCGGATATTTATATATAAATATATACATATATATTTAAATATATAAATATATTTATATGATAAAAAACAAATATATAATGTAATGATGAAAAACAAATAAAGGAAGAAAATAAAAATTAAAATATTTGACATAAATGGAAGAACGCAATCTTTTCCCCTTTTCCTTTAGACTTTGTAACAAATATTCTTTTGAGTGAATATGCGTCGATTAAAGAATATTTCTACAGTTCTGATTATTGAGAGAATTTTATTTATTTTTTATTTATTTTTTTCGGAAATAAATATCGTTATATTTAAATAAAATAATATTATTATCAATATCTGTATATCGACTTATAGCATTACATTATAGCCATATTTGTAGAGAGGGCGTTAGCACGCGGTGATTTTCGAGGACGAATTTTATTATGCTGATATCTTGTTAGTATGGATATGTGTTTTTTTATGCATACATTATCATACATTTGTAATTATAAAATTTATTTTCATTTAATCAATACTTTTTGCATATAAATAAAAAAAATATCACTAGTTACATCTTCCTGTACTTTCTGCAATTAGGAAATATAAAATAATTTGTGTTTTACAAAGAAATATAAAAGAGAAGAAACAAAACGCATATCAAAATTAATTAAAACTTAACGATATCTTTTACATACATTTATAATTAATTTTGAAAAATAAATCTAGTGATGAACGATAGCATCTTCAGTCGGTTTATTCTCATCGATTACATTCGGTAAATTGCCGTGTGATGTCGTAATATGATATCTAGCATGCCGAAAGGTACTTTAAAAATATATGCAATGGAAAATATTTTATTTTTCAAGAGCTTTAAAATATTTGCACATCTATTTTTATTATTTGTATCTTATATTTTGAAATAAATTTGTATCTTATATTTAAACTAATAATTAAAACTTTTTTTATAATTAATTGATATTAAAAATAAAGCTGATTCGAATATGTTGAAAAATTATAAAATATAAATTATAAATACTGATCAAAAGAACAATTCTTTATCAAAATAAATATTAAAAAAGAGAGATTATAAATTAATGCTACGAAAAATAATTAATCACAAAAAAAGACTTAGCATGTTAAAAATTATTCTTTTCGCTGATGGATGGCAAGTCGTGTCAAAGGTAAATTTTGAATGTCCAATGAATATTGCAAACCTGTCTGTGTTGATTTTGGAGTTACGCAGCGTCACACGTTTCGAATGATGTGATGAATGTTTAATTTCATTGCTCGCTTGTAAATTCGTATCATGTATATATACAATGTAAAATAAATATATCGATGATGCGGAAACTGTCCGTGAATGATGCGCAAATGTTTCGCGTCTATAAATCTCATGTAGAATCTATTGTGCTCATCACACATATATAAATATAAAAGATTATATAAAAGATATTAAAAGATATATAAAAGATTTTATATATACATATAATTATAGAAAAATTATTGTTATTAGTATTACAAAAGGCTAGAAATCTGGATCAGATGCAAATCATAAAAATTAATTTTAGGAAAAAATCTATTAATCTGTTATATTGTAATAATTATCGGATATTATATATATATTCTGCGCAGTCATAAAGAGATTCTCCAAATGAGAAATTATATAAAAAGTAATTTTCTCTTTATTTTTCTTACGTATTCTCTTTTGCATGATTATTTTCTCTGCATAATTAAATGCAAATCACAGAGCTTATAATTTTATATAGCTCATAAAAAAACTTCAACGTCTATTTCTATTCAGTATAAGCGCCTTATATTTATATTTGCATTATAATCTTGCTGGCATAAATTTTAAACCTAATTCCATACGAGTCAGTTTCTTTCAGAGTGTAATTTTTATTAAATATGCCTTTTTTCTGATCATGTTTAATTATAATTCAAAACGGGATTTGTTTATATTTGATCTAATCTACGGTTCCGAACTCGGACATCCGAATCCAGAAATGATCCGTACGGAATTTAGTTGGTTCATCAACGTGACTAAACAACGCTATATGCGCCCTTAACAAGCGCGCGAGCAGACTAGAGAAGGCAAGACGCCAAGATCAGCTCGCCAGCCGCGCTTTCCGGTTCGCGTTTTATAAATACTGCAGACGGGCAAACAGTGCACCGAACACTGTAGCTCAGTCGTGAAATCGTTGGAGGTGTGTGGCCGAGCGCGACGTGCCCGCCTCTTCGAGAAAAGGAGATATATTCTCACGTGGATTCTCTCCGGTTTCGCCTTCCACGCGTGTGTCCGCGTTTTATATATAAAGCGACAGTTTTATTCGCGGATGTAACCCCTTCCTCTTTCTCGGGGAGAAAAGTGCGCTTCCTGGGTGGTATTAATTGTGTCTCTTTTCGCGCGTTGTGTGTTCTTCTTTTTCCCTTCGAATTTCGATGTGTGAATGAAACGTGAAAGTTTGCGCGAAAAGCAATCTGTAAATTTGCGTGAACGATTTTGAACGCATTCGTCTTTCTGTGAATCACAAGCAGAGCGGAAATTTGTGCTTACATAAATAACGGAAAACCGAGTCGGCGCGAGTTCTATTAATTGTAAGTTTGCGTTCGCATGAATGGAATTTAAAGAAAAAGCATTCTTTTTTTATAGATTTTTCTGTCAATTTTCCTTTCTTAAATTTCTTTTATATAGTGGTTCTTGCACAGGTATATATACTAATCTAATATTTGCATTTGCCTAATTAATCTAGAAAAGAATTGAATTCAATTAATTTAATTCGATATTTTTCGCCAATTTTACAAACATCAAATAATTTTAATATCATAGTTCTTATTACAATAAGTCGATGCATATTTTTTGAAAAAATAGAAGAAAGGCATATATGTTTATTTTCATCATAAAAGACTATCGGAAATCAGAAGTATATACACTTATAATTGATTTATTATTCATAAATGTTTTGCAACGCTCTTATGCGTCAGCAAATCGCGTAAATACATCTGCTATCCAATTTATTAGAAATGTTTCGGAAACGTTCATCTTGTATCTATTGTCGACGATGCAATCTGCCAAATAATACATGTATACGGCGTGTGGATTCCTTATGAAATTTGTAGCGTTTCTTGCCTGGCATCTTGCGCAATAATTGTACATGACACAAAAATACTAACCGGCATTCGACATAATCGTGAAATGCATCAATAGAATCGTGGATTACGATTTTGGACCATTAATGATTTCGGGAATAAAATCGCGTCATTACATTCTCATCTCATTCAATTTTCATATTGCCCATCATATTCTCGTATTGCCCATCGTATCGTTCATTTATACAATCCGATTTTGATTACACTGCATATATATCCACTTTTGTAAGTCTTTTTAAGCATATTTTTACATCGAGTCGTAATATTATTCTCCTAAATCGATTAAATGTTTTGCAGAATTGGCTGCGTTTCAAGAAGCGGATTTTTTGTCAAAATGGGGCAATGACCGGTGAAATATTATGAAATTCATAAACGACAGGATGTAACAGTCACTGGTAATCACAATTGGATTAACATCAAATCGTAAAACCTATTCTCGACAATAAAAAGAAGCGGTGGATTATCGAGATGAGCGGAATGAAGAAGGCGATCGGTGGATCCATTCACAGAATACGCGAATTCGAGCTCGAGAAGGTAATGCGTTCTTCCTCTTTTATCGCATTTCTTATGAAAATCGGTCGCAATCGGATTTCGCTAAAGTCCAGACGCCTCTGTCGCGAATAAAACCTAAACAACAGCAAGACGAAGCTTTTCCAGTTTCGAGACATTGAGATATCCCGAAATAGGATTCGCGAACGAGCAGTATTTCATTATGCTTGCTCGACTAACGGCCATTCTCCTGTCTGGCATTGCACCAATGTTTTCTTAACGAAGGATCTATGATGACGACGACGTTTGCGATCGTGATTCGTCGTCGCTCGCTTAGATTGCTTTGTGACTTTGTACATATTTAATACTGAATCAGACATAGTTTTCCCGTGATTACATTCTTGATGATGATGACATAGAATATAAGAATTCAAAATTTATTCAACCGAAAGAATAAAGTGTCTTTTTATATTGTCATAATATAAGAATAATTTATGTATACATATTATTATTAAAATATATAAAAAAATTAATGTCACCTGTGATACTTTAAGATTAGCTAAACTTCATACAATTATAATTTTTTTTATTTTTAATTTAATTAAAATTGTTTTTCCGAGAAGAGCTTATAGCGTTAAATAAATTAAATTTTTACAATATTTATTGATATGTATGAATATTTAAATGGCTTTATAAAACTAGAACAAAAAATAATTTTATTTCCTTAAGAAAACTCTCGCAATTTTAATTCGTTTCACGCCCATCTATCCGAAAAACGATGATGTTTGCACTATAGGAAGACATGTGGTTCAATGAAATCATGTTAAGGGGAAACTGTCTTAGTCGCAGCGTGTCGAGTTCACATTGGGATCGAAACGTGCGTTCGAAGCGTGCGTTGGAGTAAAAATAGATGCTGCGTACAGATCGGCGTCGGGTAGAACGCCGACGTCGTATTCAGCGTGTGCCGTCGCTGCTCGCGAGATCCCTACGTTTCCCTTCGGAGTTGTATTTCCCTTGTGACCGTCGTGCGTGCTCGCGCTCGAGCGTTGTATTCTTTGTCCCAAATTCTTCAGTCTGAAGCTCGGTCTCTCGAATTCGAATATCGGTTACGTCTCGACTACGAAAGTACCTAGACATCTCATTCGGGATTCGTAGAGCAACAACTGTGATTCTATCGATTACGATCGCATTATGCAGGACAGCGCCTCGAGAACTAATTATTTTCTGGACCAGGTAAATCTGATAGATGAGTTCGACATTCTGCAGATCGTCGGTGAGGGATGGTTCGGCAAGATCTTGCTGACAGAACACCGCAGCACGCAAACCGAGATGGTATTGAAGGCGCTACCGAAAGCATACACCGGCATTTCGGACTTCTTTCGAGAATTTCATTATGGGTTACACCTGTCAGCGCACAGGAATATTATAACCACTTACGATGTGGCGTTCGAGACGGCCGGTTTTTACGTTTTCAGTCAAGAATACGCTCCGCTCGGTGAGAGAATTTTTATGACGGTCGCTCGCACGTGCGCCCTGGATTCTTTTATGTCTTACAAATCCAGTGCATTTCCATTCTCGAATTCTTTTATTGCAATAATAATTTTCTTACTAAATTAGAAGCAATAATTTAATTCGAGCAAGCTATAGCGTTTGTTTAATTTTGACAGATAATTCAAATATTGCAAAGTTATTTGATAATCGCAATTAAAAATATATTATAGATTTAAATCTATTATGTGCTCTATTTGAATTAAAAAATTATTCATGATTTTATAAATATGTCCTTACTCGAATTAATAACATTAATCTTCATTTTTTCCTTGAAATAAAATAATAAGTTGCACTGTATAATTACATGTACAAATAACGAGACTTTAATTATATTATAAATTATATTAAATTATAGCCTTAAATAATTCAGTGATTATTCCAAATAAGCAATGTAATTACTCACAAAGTGATTATCGTTGCAAAGAGCGAAAAAGTGGCACTCGCATTTGATACACGAATACGTCTTAGTCGTGGTTACGTGGTTTTCAGGTGATCTCACATCGAACGTGACAGAGACGGGGTTGGGCGAGCTTCACGCGAAGAGGGTGGCCAGACAGCTCGCTGCTGCGGTGCAACACATACATAGCCGCGAGCTGGTGCATCGGGACATCAAGCTCGACAACATACTTGTGTTTCGCAGTGACTTCTCGCGTATCAAGCTATGCGATTTTGGCGAGACCAGGCGGGTCAACACCGTCGTGCGAAGGCACAACGAGTGGCTGCCGTATTCGCCGCCCGAGGTACTGCAGATCGACACTGACGAGACGTACAAGTAATTATACATATGCTGTGATTGATTATGCGCCATTAATATTATGCGATATATCTGCTTAGAAAGTGTTAAAGAAAAAAGAAAGTCAAGAGAGATAGAGGATAAAATGAGCTGATTGATGAGTAGAGACAAGTAAACCATATTTTGATGAATGTATATATCTTAAAAGAGAGGAATATATTTCTTATCAAATTTCAATTAAATTGCCATTACCTAATGTATTCATAACTCTAACTTTTAAAAAACTATGTGCCCGAGTTTTTATTTTCTTTTACGTCTCTCCTGTCAAGAAGCTTTTGCGGTTTGCCTTTTTAATATTCTGTTTAAACAAACGCACAATTTTTTGGTCGAATGTCAAGAGCGTGACATCGCAGAGAAAACTGTGCAATGTATGAATGATACTAAACGTGTCTCTCAGTTGCTAAAGATATATACTCTAATGGCGATGGACGGACAACTTTCAGAGCTCGTACGACGCACGATGTCTGGCAATTCGGCATTGTCCTATTTGTTTGCCTGACCGGATGCCTGCCGTGGCAGAAGGCGGCATTGGATGATCCGCGTTATACGAGATATCAAACCTGGCACAACGCAACGCTCAACATCGCCAAGAAACCGAAATTATTTCAGCTGATTAGCTCACGGTCGCAGAAGTGAGTTACCACTCAGAATCCGAGAGAATACGAGATTAAGCGCCACATCGGCGTGCATTCCAAGCACACTAATTCGAATTAGTTTGTCACTGTTTATATTCTAGAGTCTAGAGTATTCTCTCTTCTTCAATCATTTCATCACATCATCAAGATTAATTTCGTGACAAACAATAGTTCAAAATTATAAAGACACTCTGTTATAATATAACAGAGCTCGCAAATAAATAAAAAATTTATCACATATAATCCGTTATATTTTTATATATATTTTGATATTTTTTGAAGATTATTCAAGAGGCTGCTGGACCCAAAAGCTGAGAAGCGGCCGGTTAGCGTGTTGGAGGTAAATAAATATTTGGAGGACAGATGGCTGGCGAAACTCGGAGCCGAAAAAGCATTGAACGGTAAGCTGGCATCGCGACATTGTTGACGATACATCGCAATGTCTTATGCGACATTCTTTTTTACACTCGCAGGCGGCGCCGACGAGAGAGACGAGCTCTGTCCGTCTATGTATAGCTTTCATAGTTCCTTGGAAGAGAAGAATCAACTTCTTCATACTCTCACGACGTATGGCATCGAGACGACGGTGGACCGTTCGAAGAAGAAGGATCGTATCAGGGAGTGGATACAGGCCAGCGCGATCGTCGAGGAGACCGAGGGAGACGAGTCGGATATGTACGAGGACTCGGAATTCTATGAAGATGAAGATGGGGACGGAAACGAGAGTGAAGAGGCAGAGCCGGTCCCCATGAGAAGCAGACATTTCCCGGAGAGACGTCCGAGCATCACGACGAACGATCTTAGAAAGAGAAGAGGCAGTAGAGTCCCGCCGGCCCGAAAAGCCGCGTCGAAAAACAAAGTGGCCGTAAAGCCCGTCGAAAGGAAAATACCCTTTGCTCCTCAAGTGGCCGAGGAACGAGAAACGATCGCACGCTTCGCCAGTTTCCCCAACGGCGATCCAAGCCTTGCCTCTGTGAGAAATGGCAGCGATCAGACCCGCGATCTCACCATGACCAATGTTACCTCCGACGTATCGTCAACGACGAACAATTTACCTCCCGGCGACCTTCGATCTCCGCTCAATGCAAACGGCCGAAACATCAGGATGGAGAAAACTAACATTGATAATCCTCGAGAGGATCCGGTTTCCGCGTTGCCGGTCACTATTTCATCGGCCGAACAGTCACCGCCGAAAATTACATCGGGCGATCCGGACACAATTAAAACTAGAGCTGAAAGTAAAATACCGATGAGTCCGCAAATCCCAGTCAGGAAGAATCGCGCTCATACGGCGCCGTTTTCGGACGCGCGATCGCCCGAGAATAGAAATCGAGAGTCGGCAAAAAGGACGCAATCCGTGACAGTTTTACAAACGCCGGAAACTAACAAGGGCCCATCTCCGCCTCGAGCATCAACGAAGACATCGACAAGAACATCGCCGCATCCTCCGATGACATTTCGAGCAGACACTACCCCCGTCACTACGTCATCGATTTCGCGAACGGCTAAATTAACCGCTCCACCGGTCGTTCGGACTGATAGAGCACCCGCGATGTCGATAACAGGCAGCGCAAATCTAGCCGAGCCCCAGCATCCGAATAGCATTCTCTCTAGTCGAGTCGAAGGCTCGCCGCCGAATATGACACAAATTACAACACCGGCAAACGTTTCCGCTATGTCCGCTACCTCTCACTTGGCAATGCAGAGCTTCAATGCTCTACGGAGTATCGCGGGCACATCTTCGTCACCTTCACCGGTAAATTCATCATTAAGTGTAAATAAACCCGGTCAACAGCTCGAGGAGATGACCGTGACTTATGGCAAAGACGTATACGAACACTACGGCATTGCACAGGGCACCATTTTGCCGATGAGAATCAATGTCGTCAGGCAAGACTCCACTGGTAGCGGCAATCGATCTGCAAGCAATTGAGATACGAATTAAAAGATGATCGGATTATCCTTGAAACCGATGGTAACTATGTATATTCTCGTAAATTAATTGCGAAGCTGATCGAATATTGTCAGAGATACATATATATATTTGGAAGTATGTTTCCTGAAGAGCAAATTCAATGCAAATGAAGAGGACGAGGGAACGAAAATATTTCATGCAACATTAAATATGCATATTTGCGTATAATAATTTCTATCTAACGTTGATATCGTTACGAATTGTTGCTTCAGAAATTGCCAAGAATTCTGTCGGAACGCGTTAATATAAGATACTACGCGATGTTCAGGTAAAATAAAGCTGTTACGAAAATAACATTATAACAGGACCGCGCGCTGTACAGACAAGAACATCACGTTATGTGCATCATACTTCATTAGTTTCAAGGGATACTTATATCGCCACGTGTCGCTCGCTTCATCAAGCATAATGGGATAAAATTAGCGCGGCGTCTCGAAAGAGATGCACCGTGCAAAAATGTCGCTGAAGCCGTTTGCCTCCTATTGTTTTCGATGGTGTGGAAAACGATAAGAAATTTTATAGTCCACGACGCGAATATTCTTTTAACAGTTCCATTCTTTCAATATAAATCTACTGATATTTATGATATTATATCGGGTATCTTTCTTTGGAAGCGTACAAAGGAAGATATGAGCCACGGAATGTGAATTAATTAAATATATGTATATGTGCTTTTTGTGATATTAGAGATCATATAATATACCAGTTTAATACAAGCTTAATAAATATTGAAAGATGCACGTGACACGTGACAATGTGAAATATATGCAAAGCGATGATTTGTGTACTACTATTACTTAAGTCACATTATCATCAAAATGTGATACATACTTATTATGAGCGTTTTTCAACAAACGACACAGAGAACACAATGTATCACGTCCTTTGTTGGTTGGCTGAATGTAAACAAGGATGAAGTGATTCATGTGTTACACTGTGTCTTCTGTGTCGCTTGCTGAAAAATGCCCTATGTTAACATGTTATTTTATTTTTCGTATTGAAAAATTAATGTTATTCTATTAATGTTATCTTGCAATAAATTGTTAATAATTATATATCTCACTCGCGTACTAAGTTATTGAAAATAATAAAATAAAACGAGATACATATATCGTTTGACGTTTTAGAGAGAGATGTTTGAATAAATTATACGATACTATTTCAGACATATAAGCTGATTATATGGACCATTTAGAACTATCAAATTTCATTTTCTGTCATTTTCAAAGCAGACTAACATGCAGACAAGCGATCAGTCTGATGTATATTAGCGATTCTTGGAGTATGCCATATACGCGACCGTTTATAATTGACGATACTTTTGCTGGTGCACGATATTGTTAAATAAAGAAACAGATCTTTAATGCCGCGGCGTCGCTAATTAGTTACTGTAGGTGTTTGATATTACCTGATTTATGAGTGACGGCAGCCGTGACTATTAGATAAGCTTCCTTCGACGGCGAATTTCGCTTAAACTCCAAACTGCGTCGTCGCAAAGAGGGAGAGGAGAGAGGGCGAGAGAGAGAGAGAGAGAGAGAGAGAAACGTCGCGACTATTAACGTATCTGAAGAAGAGCGAGGATGACGTAAGAATGGGTAGCGAGTAAGGGAGAGAGAGACAAAATGGTGGAGCAGCCGGGCGAGAGAGGATCACGAGAGGGTGCGCGTTTGGCGATGTGGAAATAATTCCCCGGGCGGGTCGTGGCACGAATTAATTAAGAGATACGTAAGTAGCGCATATTGCGCAGGAGGCGCAATTACTGTCATCTTTGACGCCAAGAAGTAACGCGGCGACGTGCGAAAGATACGAAGGACCGCGAGGCGCGGAGGTAGTTAGTTGTTTATCGTCGGGAACTAAACTGATGGTATATTGCCGTACAAACGACGGCAACTCGGAACTTTCCCGACACGTACGTTAATTATTATTTAAGTTTGACGTTACTCATGGAATTGCTAATTGACATTTTTAATAACGCGCGTGCGATATATTAATAAAGATTCACCCGCATAACGTTCCAATGAGTAATGAGGTCGTCAGTTTCTACGATTGCGATATTATGGTTAAATTATTGGTCAATTAAATTGTTATAGGATGCTACTTAATTAATAATAAATTACCAAAGTTATAAATTATGAACTACATAATGTTTTAGTAATGTATCCTTCTGACAGAGTAAATGATACTGTACGAGCATCTGTCCTAATATTATTTTGGATTACATGAAATTGCCATAATTATTGATCGTAGCTCCGTTCGTGAATATAGTCGTGATTGTTCTTGATACGCTTATATACAGCTATCAACGTAGCTGACTGAAGATTGTTGCTCTGTCGAGAGTGACGCTCGACACCTTTGCTATCGGTCCAAAAGCCATGCGGATGAAAATTGATGAAACCACAATTGGTGTTAATGGCGTACCACAATTTCCCCCTCGTTGTTATCATCCAACAACCTTCTGCATCCTTGTTACGTCGCTTTCGACATCTATTTCGGGATCGATCGGATTTGCTTCGAAGTCAGGGATCCGTACGCGTAGCCCGGCCTATGAGGATGTATAATCTACAATCACTAATGATGTGTTGGTAATAAAATCAGTTTCTCTTTATAATTTTTGTTCGTATCTTTTCATATGAGAGCATTAATTAATTTATTTTTTACATCAATTTTAATTCAAAGCAAGTGTTAAAAAAATTATATGTGTGTTCAGTATTTTCAGATTATTGATTTTATGATTCAATTATTAACTATTATTGTATATATGTCTTCTTCTATGTATATTTTGAAAAAAAACCAGATAGAGAGCTTTTACATTGCATTCATTATTTAAAAATATTAAAATTCTTAAAATATTTCAGATAAGTGTACATCATGAATGCAATTTAATAAAATTAAAAGCTACTCTCGGATTTAAAAAGATAATCTTTAATATTATCAACAATTCTCTCTTAGAACAACGCATTTTATATCAAATATGAACACGAGTTGTTATTTCGATAAATGAAGAGAATCATATCCTTATTTTATCAAACAATTCTATCCTTTTTATTGTTTTAATTATCATAATTTGTCACACTTTGTTTCCGTCGTTTAATAATATAACGGACTATAATTAATTGAAGGACCCATGTTGTAAGGAAAATACATATACGCATATTTTAAAATGAAATTACTAATATACATACATGTCTTATTAATGCATGCATGTTTTATTAATGAATATGCAGTTTACACGTGTGATAAGTATCGGAACATCTAAACCTATGAATATATGGTCGAGTATGAGCTTATCATAATAATATTCTCATGGGAACACCTTCGAGAAGGCAAAGTATTAGCTTCGTGAGGGAGGATCTTTCCGTTGCAAGGAGAACGGCCGATCTCAGGGAACGCATGCTTACGCGAGCGTTGCAACGTTACCCGACACGTGGGACGTGACGAGAGAGCGTATTAATCGTTTATGGAGCGTGCAAATGCAACATTGCCCGCGACCCCATAGCTTTCTGCTCATTCCCGTTGGTGCTCGAAATCGGATCAAATCGAAAGCAATCATCGCGCACCGATTCCCGTCGCTAATTCGAAATGCGTATTCGATTTGTCGTCGGTCGCCGACGTCGCCGCGTTTGCGACGTGAATTAAAACGACATTTGTCGCGAGATATAGCAATAATCCCGGCGCGTCGATTATTATAATCGTCGTAAAGATCGGACATACGCCCAGGATGACGCGTCGCTCTTTTACGATCCGCGCGATAATAAAATACATCGACAAGCGAATTCCAGTCGAGCTAACGTTGCGGAGCGAGTTTATATCGCTCGTCACACTCCCTGCTCGCGTGCGTCTTCTCCTCCTCTCCATCCGTTTCCTGCCTGGATGACACCCGGGTGTCGGATTACCGTCTTCCATTTCTACGTAGGTGTTCGAAGGGCTGGATTAATCCCGGACCGACTTTCGAGTCCGATGGCTAAGTCGCAGTCGAAGACTCGGAATACCAAAGATAGGACTTAGAACTTACAACGACGAATGAGTCAAAGTTTCTCGTACGAATTGTCTATGACGACAGTCTCGTCTCATGTCGTGCCTCTCGTCTCGAATAATGTCTCGTAATTATTGTACATTAATTAACGAGTATTGTTACAGACGGCATTGTAACATTAGTTCCCTTCAGTCATTTGAGATATGTTACTCTGTTTATATCCCGGATATAAACGTAAACGTTATTTTTTTCTAATTACAAAAGTAAACATTGTTAAATAAATAGTGTCAAATAAATATTTCGATATTTCTTTAACTAAGAAACTCGAAGGCAGAAAGGGATTGCCCTTGTTTCCCGACTGTGACGTTGCACAGCTACGCTGTGAACATCTTTATGTACGAGACGGAAGCGGGTTCTCTTCCGTATTCTGGCAAACTCGCAAACTTGATGAAAGCGTTTCAAATATACGCGAGCATATACATAACGAGCAATCCCTAACTTTTCCTCGGTTCTCCTCCTTTCATCTAGTCCGTCTCAATCTCTCACGAGCGAGAAGAGGACGACGCAGACATCGATTGCAGTTTATCCCGAGAAGCAAAACGACCGATTGATCGTGCGTGAAATGGAATTGCTCTCGGGCACGAATGTAGACAAATATTGATGAGATGATTGAATATCAATGTGTTGTTAAGTTTCATGTGATATTTTAGTTACCCAATTTGATATACAAAAGCGTTCATGTATGTCGAAATTTAATATTCATTTAAATAATATCAATATTATGGCAATACATATCGATATTCTTGCGAGTACTATCAGTTCCGGGACAATTAATGAATAAATGTAGCATGTTCAAACTGTGTATAGCATTATCGAATTAACAAATTTCCACGTCGGGTAGTATGCAATTAAACGTATGAAATTATCGAGGAATGAAATATTTTCAATGGGGTGAATACAGATTTGTTATGTATGTATCAATTACCATCATAAAAATTACATATTTAAAATCACAGTTAAACAACGATAGATGAAATGTCATAAGAAAACCTAACTAACTAATTTCATAAACAAATACCCTATTGGAAAGTTTTGCAAATAAGGTATTATACCTGCATAATTGATCAAAGATCATCTCGTCTATTTGCAAAGCTCGTTTCTGTCATTGTCTACCACGTGCACTTTGACATATCTCTTTTTGTTCTCGCTTCGTAATTAACTTAGCCAAAAGTTTGCTAAAACGATACAGTACGATTTTGCGCATATACAATATCGTTAATTTTCAGATTTATTGGAAAAAAGGTAGTAGTCGCGCACACATGAGACGCTGCTGGCTAAAACCGTACCCGCTGTGTGTGGGCGTCGTAACTATGTGCGTGTTCTGTACTAACAGATTCGTTATGGTTCGCGTACGTGAAGTGCGGATCGCCAAACGGCGTTGTAAATTCATCCTGATAATGCGACCGCGTAGCAACGCATCTTGCCTCGTAAGACATGGGCGACTGCGTGTCACTAATGTACTTTATATCGCTGTTGCTGGCCATTCGGACTAAGCCATAACATGAGTAACGCAATTTATGCCTGAATTTTGACAATTGTTCGTGAGAATAAAATTCTCTTTTTTTGAAACAAAATTATCACTTCGTCATGCGTTGCATACTGTTAAAAAGGCTAATCACATTTGTAATCAATTATTAGGCTTGTTTAAGTCTTATTAAGTCAAATTGTATTTATCTCCGAGAATAACTTTTTCTTGAGAAATTAGATAAAAAAAGCAACAGATATGTAATAAAAATTAGTAAATTATATAAAATATAAGAAATTTAAAAAAAATAATAATTATAAACTCTTTCATATATGTATGTACGAAGAAGATATTCGCTACATGCAAAAATTTTAGAAATAAAAAATTATTTTAAAATCTTTTTGACTCTCATCCACTTGTAAGTTTTCGATTACACAAATATATGTAAAAATTTAAACGCGACGTAATCGAATTTTAAGACAATTTTTTTTATTAATACAAGATATTATTCACGGTATGCAATTGCATTCTTGCGATAATCCCCGATACAATCCCTGCGACGCCTTTATTATGCGTCATCGAACGAATGCGTGAGGCCTCCCAGGGCAAAAAAAATTAGCATACTTAAGCGAGATACATATCGAGAACACCCAGAGGGTTACAGTGTTCAACTGTCGCCACCCTCGCTCGAATAATCGCGAGAGTGTCGTGGTACACGATAAAATATCATACAGGATGCGTAGCGCATATGCGTACTTCGTTACGCTTTATTTTCTGTCTGCTCCGCCGAGCAGAAATTATCAGTTCCTAAATAAACTCGAATATTTTGATTGCGCCATATAAATGACGATAGATAATACGAGTGTTTTATACGAGTTATAATTTTTCATATAAAATTATACGTAAATTTTGGCATACGCAAAGTACTTTCTATGAGTTCCAGGGTTCCATCGTTCCGTGTTGCTCTCCTGGAATGCGAGATTTGGCGCATTTACCTCTCGCAGATCGATCCACGAGAGATGTCGGTGACCGAAGTACGTCGGAACGTCCCGGAGCGATGAGATGGCCGGTCGAAAAACAACGATATTATATCCGGGATTCTGGGTTACGACGCGACGGACAGACGCCCTTGTGAAAATATTGTCTCAGCGCGTCGAGACTTCGCGGCAGGCTGATATTATTTCAGGGCCGAAATGACGAGGCTTCTTCTTCTTTGTTGGCCTTAACGTCGCCACCTAATCAGGTCTAAACGCTATTCGCTCAACGTGAACGATCGAAGGCGGAAGTCGCGTAATTCATTATGAGACAACGTATGCCTTCTCTCTTTCGGAGAATAAGTAGAGATGTTAACTCTGATTTCATGTAATTCTTTATAATACTGCTTTTATCATTTAATAAATTTAATATAAAATTGCATGCTATATTTGTCTCATCTCCTTGATATCGTAAATATAATTAGAAATTTTTTTTTTGTATGAATATAATATTTTATCCAAATAAATATGCTGAATGTTTTGCTAAATGCTTTTGATTATATTCATACGCTTCTTTGATATTGCACAAGCCAAATGGAAATAATTATTTAATTAATGCGATCTTATGGTAATTATAACGGAGGAGTTGGTCATCAACGCATTTAAGAACAGACAGAGACTGTCCTCTCTCCGTTTAATCGCTTCCAGAATGAATTAATCATGAGGGATCAACGGCTGCCAATCTCCTTTCTCGCAATTGCAGCGGAGGATTAATGCTCTAGGCTGATCTAATTTAGAAGAATTTTTCGCCAGAAGGTATCGACGTATATCGTTTTCGGTAATCTGAGTTCTGCGAATGCAAACGAACGAGAGGGCATGATATTCTCGGGAATTTTCAATCGATCGTCGTTCGGGTCGACGCGACGTCGACCTTTAAAGAATCATATTGCACTCTACTCTTGTGTATCATTACTCTTCATATATTATTACCATGGAGATTGATTTCGCGGAGAAAAACAAATCGAATTGCCGCTATCACGGCGGCCGCGCGCGACCTTTGCCATTGAGACAAGAGCTACTTATATACTCTGAAGCGATATACAGGGTGTTTTAGAGATGTATGATCCATTCATAGATTCTTTTTTTGTGTCAGTTTTATAAAATAGTTTGTTTAGTAAAAATTTGATAAAAGACGAAAAATTTTGTCACACAAATTTATCAAAAATATCTAAGTCTTATTTTACATGATTGATATTTAATAAAAAATGGATTTTTTTATTAATTTTGTATTATTTTGTTTTTATCTCATCATGAATGCTTAAATTTCAATATCTAATACTTCCAAAAGTAATTTCATATTTCATAAAAAAAATTAACTACAGAATTGTTAGTCGAGAGAAATAGTGGTGATTCTACGATACCCTGTACATATGAGAGCACATAACGAAAGAATGAATGCAAATGCAATCGGTCGGCCGATATCCGATATCGCCAATGAAACCTCGATTTTATGACTCCACGGAGTCAATATAGCGCTGTTATGCGACGTCTTTCTCCCTCCCACAGAAAATAATAATTCACATTCGGTCAGCTCGAGATGACAACAATGCTGAGCGTTTATTTCAATAACGAGGCACGATAACCGTTTACGTCTCACGACTCCCAGTTCAAATTAATTATTAGCCAATGAGCGAGTTATCAAGTGAACTGGCCATCGAAAGGAACGAAGAGTGATATTTCCATGTCGTTAAGTAACGCAAATCGAAATGGCTGCATTATTAATTAAGGCTTCCTTCTAGCATAAAAGAATATTGATTGTAAAACTTTTATTGGAGTTTCAATTATAATATCATTTCGAGACTTATCTATCACTATTGATTAATTCTGTGTTATCTCGTTTATCAGCTTAGAGCTTAAATTATTACGTTTCGAGTACTTTTTGCTAGAACTGATTTGAGATTCTATTAAAAATAACCTAATAAATTATAGTAGACAGATTTTATATATTCTTATAAATAAGCAGTTAATAATTTGAATGAGATTTAGATTAAGTGTAAGATAAATGAGATGTCAGGATTGATTATATTCTCGAATATAATTACCATCTCCATTAGCATAAAAAAAAGATCATTGATATCAATAATTTTACATAAAGAATTTCAAACAGCTTTGCTTGCACGTAATATTAATCAAAGCTAATTTCGTATGCAATAATTAATGCTCATTTGGAACGTTTACGATACTGGCAATCGATCTATTTTAATGATAACATTTTTCATCTGCAATTAAAAGTAGCATGTAATTCGATCAATGAATTCAACCACAATTAGAAACAGTTGCGAAAGAAAGAGAGACAGAGACAGAGAGATCCTTATCTCTTGGCCCAAGTAACCAGACTGTAAACGCATAATGCTCGAAGTGAACCATAAATTTGAACCACAACCCTTCTCTGCCAGTGCGTCTCCTTCCATTTCAGCCCCATTGCACGGTGACTCACGTTATGGGGGTGATTCGCCCCTGACTCGGCTGGCGGCGTGCCCGGTGCAGTCGTTGTCTTCTTCTTATCCATAAGGTTACACGAAGAATACGAAACTTTGTAACGTAGCGATAACTGTGTAAATTGTATAAAGAGGATCGAGATAAATTTCCTCTTTAAAATGCACAAGTTTGTAAGTTATATTAAGGCTATGTTGAATAAAGAGTACTCTTCTTTGAGTGACGCTTTTCGATTAGTGGAATAATTTTGATTTACATAAGATTACTGTAAGATGAAAGATAAATTAATTTAAATAAAAATGTCACTCTTTCTAAGAACAACAATAAAAAAAACAATAAAACAAAACAAATAAAAATATAAATGTTATCAGTAAATATCGTATATATAAAAAATATCTATAAATAAATCATTGTTTTACCTAGCAGCGGTGAGAAACGCAGATCCGTTTTTATCCGTGAGATGCAAAGCGTCGATACGCCACGCCCTCCAGCATCGCGCCGAGGGCCGAGGAAAACTGGGGTAAGAAAAACGAACGATGCCAGGATGGGGAAAGGGGAAACCGTCGTCGACGAGAGGAGACTGGAAAGCACAACTGAGACGCAAGAAAATTAAATAATAATAAAATGTATTAAAAATCGTATACATTTTGAATATACGCGTATGTATATACACGCGGACGTGTCTGCATATATATATACACATACTATATATATATATATATTATATTTATATTTTTTTTGCCGACCGACCGAGAAATGGCGATCGTTTTTCTTTTACATCTACGGTTACTATGGCAACGTAAAAATTGTACAAAGCGACCGATGCGATGGCGGCCGCGTGTGAAACTCGTCGCGCGAGTCGAGAACGTAAAAATGCTTGGACGAGGAAAAACGCACGGATGAAAACTAAAGAAGGGAAGCAACAGAGAGAGGCTTTCGATATATAGCGCTTCGGTGAAGCGCGGATAATGTTGCGGAAAGACGACTTTACGTGTCGGTCTCGGAGAGAACACGTGTTCTCGAAACACACACTCGTGATACACACAGTATTCTCTTTTTTATTGACAATTAGTGTGACAAAAAGTAGCTTACAAATACTTATAAAGACTCCTTCTCGATCGATTTCTCTAACATCACTTGTCAATAGATCCATTTCGGGGATCTCTCACATATTTGTGGGAGAGAGAGATCGCTTTTCGAGTATATTCGCACATTCTGGCATGTTTCTTTCTCTCTCGCACACTTTCGTCAAACGATATCGATTATTCTTCTCTCTTACTGGTTATGTATTGGCGTGATATGTGAATACTAATTATAAGACGTCTTTACTCTCCCGCTACTCTATAATATTATTACGCGTGTATGTTCCGTTTTGGCAGATGTTCCCGTCGAAAACACGACGGTTAACGCATTTAAGTTGGATGAGGCAGTTTTTGTTTTTCAGTCCTTTCGCTTTTGTGCACTCTCAACATCTCGTAAAGAAATACAGTTGGCAGTGATATAAAATTGTGATGCCATATCTCTGTTCTCATCTTTAGCCATAGACAATTAATATGCATTATCACATATTATAATACTTTGATCGGAGGATTTGAAAAGCCCGATATATGTTATCTAAAATTCTTGTTTGAATATATATATTGAATATATATATATAGACATATATATATATTGAATATATATATTGAATAAATATACATATATTGAGAATAAATATATATATATTAAATATATATATATTGAATATATATATATATGAATATATATATATTGTCATCATAATTAACTTTCAATATATCCGATTGTAGTTCTATTACGAGATGCCGTAGAGTTTTCTGATTCAATTTTTCTTTCTACAATTTCCGGTACTAGAAAAAATTCTGGATTTACGATACTGCTACGATAGTGACAAGACGTAGTCACACGTATAATATGTATTTGAGAGCTGTTACTTCCGTTATATCTCGCGCGTAATCTCACGCTCGGGGGCTACTTCTAGATCGTCGGGATTTACATGAGAATGACATACGCGCACGTGCATAATTTTCCTCCACCTACTACGTTCGGGGTACATGTAGATTTCCTTTCGCGCTTCTTCGTAAACCGTCCTCCCTTCGTAAACCACCATCTCTTTATTTCGCCATCGCCTATCGTTCATCCTTCGCGACACGTGCATAAAGGAGCCGATCACCGCACGAAGTGTGTAGTAAGAATAAAAAAACGCCGCACCTCTCTTTTTTTCTCCGTATCGTAGGTTTCCTATGAAGATCATAACTTGGTGTAGGTGAACGGGATAAGAATCCGGGACATGCTCTTACTTTACGATATAAAAAAAGTTCGATCTAGTACATCGATGTGTTAAATTATATTGTATGATCTTCGCGAGGCAGACCTATATTATGTATACTTATATATGTATTACACATTTTTGTAAATGCGTACTGTGGACCTAGTTTTCACGACGATCGTACCCTCGTGGCATATATAATGGCGCTTGATCGGTCTACTAGTATTGCGGAAGCAGATCTCAAAAATATCGATTAATTTGAATCGTGTTATACAAATTAAAATTAAATTATTCTTATAGTAAACTCAAAATATAACTTTATACATATAATTTGATAATAGTATAGTTACATACTAATCGAATAAAAGTATTCAACAAAATGACATTTATGCCAAATTTCATCAACTTTCCTCAAGCTTTTCTCAACAAAAATTAGATCGATGATTTATCAGTTCTTAACAGTTTGAGCTCAAGTTTGAAGAAACTTGATGATTAATAAACTCTAATTAAATTGAAACAAAAGAAGTTTATTTGATTAAAATAAGATTTTTTTAAGTATAAAAGAGAGAGTGATTGAATGTGATCTGTCTTTGTCTGAGAAAAGTTGGCAAAAGCGACGGAGTCCAGTTTAGCTTGACAACTTGCATAAAGCGTCTCAATTATAAAGCGAACTTGTCTGGTTACATAAAGTGCGGCAACTTTTGGCTAATAAGGGCTTGCAGAAAGATACAATGTGTAACGCTTGCCACGAGCACGATCGTCCTCGCGTCAACACCCTACAACATACCTGGCGACCGTTTTATTTACAGCATCAATTAACATCTACGAACAATATTTACAGTAGTCCATCCCACTTACTCTAACGTCTGTCCTGTACACTCGCTTTTGCCCATCATCGCGCGTTTATCGCGAACAGCGGCAGCTTGCTATCATCGGAAATACTTTCAAAGTTTCGCAACTCCTTTCGATTGCGAGGAGTGAACGAAGAATTAATATGAAAATGGATTTAGCATACGTGACATCGAGGAAAGAGCAGTTTCCTCCCTTCAGGAACGAGAGAAAAAAGAGCAGGCTGCCGTTTTCCGCGTTGCATCGCATGTGTGTACATTCCCGACATGGCTTTTTATGGCTAGATTAGATAAATAGACGAGACGAGATACACGTTAGACGGACACATTAGCGGACTTTACGAGCACCGCTTTTTACGAGAAGAATGTAAGAAAGATTAAAGAGAGATAGATAGATACGGATAAAGACAGATCAATCTATTGACACCACGTTCATTGCTATCGTGCGCACGCGTATACGTTCTCGCGTGTCACTGAGTTTTTCTTCTAAATCACAAATCTCACTATACCGCGGCACTCGAGCGATCCTCCCCATCGACGATGTAAAAAGAAAGATGTCGTTCTACCTATTCAATCACTCACCGAAATTCCTTCTTTTCCAAGCTATTTTCGCAAGGTATAATTTCCTCGCATCAATCAACAGGATGAAGACACTGAAGAAATCGATGGTCCAAGCTGAAGAGAGGATTCCTCGAGATTCCCGCGGGAGAAGACATGTACAGGCTAAATACGTATATCGGTAATCGAGAAGCACCGCAGCCGCTCGTCGTTCAAACTCCACGTGCGTCTCCGCACGTGTATCTTCCTTCACACCTCGGTGGCCTGCGTGTAGGAGGGCGCGATCCCGTGCGCCGGCGTCAGCGGCCCCGTCGTGGACGCGAGCGATCTCCTGGAGTAGATGGTCGCCGCCGAATGGGGTGTGTGCGGCGCCGTATGCGGCGCCGTGTGCGGCGTCGCGTTGTGCCTGCGCGAGGCCGAGGCGAAGGGCTAGATGGGCCCGTAGTTGCTGAGGGCGGAAGGTCTCTCCTGCTGTAACTGCTGCTCGCCGCATCCAGCGGTGTTCATGTCGCCTCCCGCCGACTGGTGACGTCATACGTGTGAGAGAGGCGGCTGCTTGAGTACGTGATGATGCAGGTGATGCTGGGACGCGCTGGCGACGCTTCCCGGTGGTAGCAGAGCGCTGCCCGGACCAGGCGCCGTCTGATACGGCACCGCGATGCTGCGACCCATGACGCCCTTGATGCCGACACTGCCGATGCCGCTGCTCATGCCGGTCACGCCAGCCACCATGCCGCCGCCCGCGCCCATATGACCGCCCGGACCGCGATTTCCGCCGAACAAACGCCTCCATAGCCGCTTCCAAGAGTCGACCGTTTTGCCACTCCAGATCCAGACGCCCGAGGTGCTGCCAACCGCGAGAGCCATGAAGTACTTTAGCATCAGGATGGAATACAGCGGTCTCGCGCGCGGTCGACAAGGACATGCCAGCGAGCTGAGCCACTCGTCCCGGAGGGATGATTCGTAGATGTGACAAGCTAATACCGCGCCGGCTGGTAAGGTGTAGAGAACGCTGAACACGCCGATTCGTATCATAAGCTTCTCGAGCTTGTCGGCCTTGGCGCCCGGCTGGCGTTTTATCACGGATCGAATTCGAAAGAGACTCACAAAACCGGCCAGTAGGAAGCTCGTGCCCAGCAGAAGGTAGACGAATAGAGGCGCTAGGATAAAGTTGCGCACTCCTTCGGGAGCGACCGTGCAAACTCCGGCCACCGGGTCACCGGCGACGCCACCCGCGACATACGCCCAGACTGTTTGCACGGTCGGCGCCAGCCATGCCACTAGATGAAAGTACTGCGAGTACGAAGCTATGGCCTCGTTGCCCCATTTCAAGCCGGCGGCGAGGAACCACGTAAACGCCAAGATTACCCACCATACGGAGGAAGCCATGCCGAAGAAGTAGATCATCAGGAAAACGGTGACGCACGTGCCCGGGCCCTGCGCGCCCGATTTCAACGCCGGACCGTCGCAGGCGATTTCTTCGTGGCCGAAAATGCTGCGCGACAGATAACCCACGGACACGACGAAGTAACAGGCCGATAGAAAGACGATCGGTCGCTCAGGATACTTGAAACGCTGGGTGTCGATCAGAAACGTGGTGACGGTTACGAGAGTGCTGGCGGCGCACAGGCCGCTCCACAACGCCAGCCAGATTGCCGCGAACTCGCGTTCTTCGTTGTTGAGAAACGCGCCGCGACACGGGAGGGCACAATCCGGCACCCCCGCGATCTCCTGGATGATGCTTCGACCGATGCCCCCCATCGACGGTGGCGCTGGAGCTGGAATTACCCCACTTACGGCCATGCCGGTTAATCCAGCTCCCGTGTTGACCCCGGTGCCGATTACGGTGCCGCTGACGGGGCTTATCGGTCCCGGTATCACGCCACCCGCCCCCAGAGGCACGAGGGGCGCTCTGCATCTGCACGCGCAATCCCTCGTCCTCTCCCCTGGGGGATGTTGGCAGTTTTTTTGATTCTTGCCCGGCTTGCAGCGAGCCGGTTGCGTAGTTTTGCTGGGCCTCGTGGGCCGCGCCGGTGGACCTGGCGGACCCGGGACACCGCCGCTTACCATACCGCCGTTACCACCGCTAGGTCCGGTGCTGCTGCTAGTGCGATTGTCCTGCTCCATGCATAAATTTTCCGGATCCTCGCCGTGATTCGGCAGACGCTCGCATGCCATTCGCTCCGGCCACGAGAAGCCGTATTGTTGCATAAGAGGCGCGCAACCCGCACGAGCTCTCTCGCACACACTGCGACAGGCTGGCAGCGGTTTCGTATATTCCGGCAAGCAGATCGGCGTGTACATGGAACACAGGAAGAACTTGAGATCCGGCGAACACTTGATCTCCACGAGCGGCCAGAATTGATGCACCTCGAGACCAGCTTCCTCCTGGGTGTCATGATTCAGTTCATTCGGCATAGCGGTGAGATTGTAACCGATGTTACGACACATGGGAATCGTAATCTCCTCGCATCTACCGTTCCCGTTGTTGCCACCCCCTATACCGGAATGTCCCCCGCCGCCGCTATTTATACCGCCCCCACTGACGCCGCCAATTATGCCGTTACCGCTGTTTCCGCTTACCCCGTTGCCACCGGAACCGGAGCCATCGGACACCACGCCGATCACTGATGATGAGGAGGACGAGGATCCGCCGGATGAGGACGAGGACGACGAGATTGCTGATCCCGATCCGACGATGCTACCCATTGGATTCATCGCCGATTCCGATTGTACGTTCGACAACGTCAAGAAGAGGAGCAACGTCAAGAGGCTCGTCATAGTTCGTGCGGGAAACAGCTTCGTCCGTCGCGCGGGTCTCGTGTTCAAGGACATATGGTTCATGGTTGCATAGCTCGCATAACTGCCGCCTGCAACAGTAAGCAAATGATACTTATTTATCATTGTCGTTTTCACAGTGGAATTGCTTCTATTATAAGAAGCATAGAGACGTGGCGCAAACATGTTTAGTCATTGTGTCTCTATAATTTCAGTTTTACACACATTGATAATTATAATTATAAAACAATAAAAATCTAAAAATATAAAAGTATTTTATTTGGGTTATGGGTGTAAACATAAATAAATAAATTATATTTTCTATTTTAATATATATACGCAGTAGATAAATTTATGGAGAATTTACATTAATACTTAAAATCTTATGAATAATTTATAATCTCTTTTATATATGTGATACATATTAATCATCTAAATCATTTCAATAATGTTTTCTCCAGCATCAAGAGAGCAAATTTTCGCTAATAACTCGTTTCTCCGAATAGGATATCCATATGTATAATGAGAGAATATTTACTGGAGATAGAGTATTCAACGCGTTCCATAGAGAAACCGGGAATACCAAATAGACTCGAATTTAATCTCGAGAGAGAGAGAGAGAGAGAAAGAGAGAACAGCCAGCCGGTCGAATGCACGAGCCGCTTCGTTTGCAATTCGGACTATCAAAGCACAACGCGGCCGTTTCGGTAACCCGGTCGGGTAACTTTGTAGCGAGTCGTGCTGCGTGTATCCGCGCTGTTTCGTAAAAGTTCCGAGCCGGCGATCGATGCCTAAATAGCCGGCCGGTGCGGGATGCGTCTGGCAGCTCGCTCGACCTTAACGAGCAAGGGCGTAGCGTTCGAATGTCTCGTACATAAATCAACGTCGGTGCTTCGATCGCCGGCTAGATACCCGGATCCAAAACCGGTACGCTTCTCGCAGAATCGTGGGGTGCCGGGACTTGAGAGGACCCGCATAAATATTAAACCAATAACAAATAATAAATGAACGAGAGAGAGAAATAAAGTCTCTTATTCGTGAATAAGAAATAACTTGACTCAAATATAACTTTATATCGTCGACAAATATCGTATTCGAATAAAATTTTAATTAATAATACGTTTATATAATTATATAAATATTGATCAGCATAAAATATTTTTTCAAATTGTCGCTTTGAATTGAAATAAAAAGTAGATGACGCCAATAAATGCTACTATCTTTATTTTATTCGCTAATGAGCTAACTAAAAATTCATTCGACAAATGCAGTTCTGTTGAAACGGAAACTCGGAGGTCGGAGGAAAGGGTAGGGGGGGAACGCAAAGGCTAAAGGGCAAAGAGTGAGGAAGATAGGACGGAGGTACGACGGGAAGGAGAGAGAGAAAGAGAAAAAGAGCGAGAGTCAGAGAGACGGAGGGAGAAAGACAGAGGGGATCGAAGCAGTCATGGATCTTATAATAGTCGACCCGCGGAAAACACGTGACCGGAGCGAAATGTTATTGTAGGAGGCGGTGTTAGTTTTACCGTTTGTTAACTGTGCTAACGCCTCGACGCGGGCGTCGCTATTTATAAGACGCCGTCGCGAACGGCGTGCATTTAACCACGTTGAAATAAAGGAAGAGAAACCGCTACGTGTGTGGCTCGTATCCCCGATACGGCCGATTGGCGTCCGCGCGTACGAAATGCATCTGTGAGATGCATCCGCTGCAGCTGCAGCGCGAGGCTTCCGATGCCTCTCAATAGAGTTGTACGCGTTCTCGATTTTCGCTTCGTTTGCTCCCGAATATCGTTAATTCCTCAACGAGATACGCACGCATATCGAGCATGTATCCCTTCGATATTATTCTGCTGGTGCACATTAATGTTGCAGAGAACGCATTATTATAATCATATTGCACCGATGATATATTCCCGTATCGATCATGTAGGGAATATTTTCGCTTTTGCAAATATTATACGAAATCTCATATTTCTTGCGTCATTTTAAAAATAATTATTTGATTAGCTTACCAAATACATACGAAATACGTACGTTTTGCTTCTCATATGGCTTTTTTTACCGTTCATTTTTTTTAGAAAAGGATTATAAATAGCGATCGAAACTACAAGGATCGTATGTAATATGATGTATCGATTTTGGTCCTGTGTATATTAACAAGCGATTCGTGGAACTATTATACACAAAACTTATTTGATGAAATGAATATCCATTAATGTATTGCATAAAGCAATATGGGTAATATGGGGAAAGAGGCAAGAGGGATTCGGCCATGAATCATTTCAAAATCTAGCCTCTGATGCCTGGAATATATGGGCTGCTGGCCAATGTTGTGTTTGGGTTACCATATACTTCTCTTTTATGGAAATTTCATATTCTTTTTGCTCTTCCATGTCCATAACTAGTTTCTATGAATAACGTGCGCGGACTCTCGATTACGCGATCGCGATTTGTTCCTCGGTGCGAAACGCAGCTAATTAAAGTTTATACATATTAATATCTTACAAATCCTTTTCAATATACATGGAATTTATTTTCAGACATGCTCGATCGATCGTATATCAACGCGAGGTCGACCGCTCGTTTCCCATCAGCGAATTGGAAGAGGAAAAAGCGTCTGCAAAAGGCGCGCTTCTCGCGTTAAAATGCAACGCGTTTATAGCGATTTGTCAGTTGTCGATCCGTCTCTTGGAGAGGTTTTCAATTTTCGCAGGGAGGATATCTCAGGATTGTATTCGCTCGTAAAAGGGACAAGCAGCGAGGCATAAGAAGAGCGAGCGGCAGTTCTCGGCGAAATATCGCGCGAGATTCTTTGCGAACGCTGTTGCTAAAGATACGTAAATCAAAACGCGCGGCGAGATTTATAGCGAGGTATGGATAAGGTATGCGTTACGCTCCCTCGTTAGTTGGTAAAACTGACGGCGGTCCAAACTGGTGTCGGGTTTTATATCAAATCCCGCGTCACGAGCATTAATCACGAATTCACCGCGCTCGCCCCCGCCCCCGAACCCCGGCGAAGGCTAAGAAAAACAAGGAACGGAACGCCCGGCTGTCTCTCGATGATTTTGCATCATCGACCGAAAGAGTTTTCATAGTCGTTTGTAGAAATAATATGAGGAAAATTCAGCTGTATGTTAAATCTGTGATAAACTTTCATAATTAACGTGACAACCGAGGTTTCTCGATGATACTATAATTTAAAGAATTTTTAAAAAATAATTTGAAGAAATTTTTAAATAATTTTTTATTAAAAAATTATTTAAAAATTTTAATAAAATATATTGTAATAAAATATAAAATTTATAATTTATAAATATAAATGTAGAATAAAAACGATAATATTTCTATTATGTCATACGAAAAATGCATTGAATTTTATTTCAATGTGCAAATCTGCGTGACCTCACGAAAGAATATAAATATATTTTAAGCAATTTTATACACAGGATGCACTGATTATCGATTATGTCACAGAAATAACTTTCATTTGAAATATGAAATGGCATTATTCCGGTATGAATAGAACGTTTGATGTAAGCTATATATATGGAGAGTATCTCAGGACTTGGCATAGTTTACGCGCGCAGCAACTTCCTTCTGGTATCTATCTTCCCCGACAAATCTGGACATCTAAACTTGGCCTTCGAACGTACTCTCCTTCTGGACGAGTTTATTAACGATGCAACGGTACGGAGCGTGCGAGAGGCAGAAAGGGAGAGCCTAAGTCGCGCGAAAGCACCGATAACCGGAACTATTTGTTAGAGCCCCCGGGAGCGATACGCACATTCGCGCCCGACTACTGTATACCTCGGGCCTTTGTGCGAATATACACAGTACGCTATCAGACGTCACGAGTCATAATATACAGGACATTTTGAATACGTATCCCGTCGCTTCTCGTCTTTATAATAGATATTTTGCGCGCCAAAAATCAGGGAAAAAAACCAGATTATATAATTCTTGAGTAAAGAGAGGCATTACAGGAATTTTTATCTAACATAAATTAAATTTTATTAGAATAATCTCAAAATATTACGAAAATTCAAATTTTACGAGTGCAAATTTTTCTGAAAGAACGTAATGGCTACAAGAAAAATATACAATGTATCATGTTTACCCTCCAATACGACACAAGAGATACATCTTTTTCATGCAACGCGATTATGGGAACACTCAACCGCCGATAAAAAGGAGGATATTTCCAATATCGCGAACCTCTGCGACTGAAAATACGGTCTTTCTTGCCTCCGTTCTTCTCGCATATCCGCTGCAGCTATGCAAGACCGCGTGCTGTTAGTCGATTCCCAGAATACACGCATAAGATCGGATTTACCAAAGCCTGCGTAAAAGCGTGGCACGCTTGCGATGGTATATACATGGGGTGTTCCGATTAAATTTTCGTCAAGCTTTAACATTCTTTGATCAATTTGGCAGCGGCTTTTCCCTCGTGACAGTTCAAACGGAAACGTAATTATTGACTCGATCAATCTTGAAAATTAAAGGATTCGAGGCGCTTACAAAGAGCAAAGTGCCATTTTCGATCAATTTCAGGACTTTATTTCGATAAAATCTTGCTCCATCAAGTATATATCGAATAGATATAATTAAATATTGTATAAATAAAAATGTTAGCTTCGTGCTCGCTCGATTAGCTACACATTTATATCTTATAATTGCGTTGACGTGGCAAGCTGCAAACCGCACTCGATTCATCACCTTTCATTTCCTCTATTTTCATCTCGGCACCGTTCAAGCGCGATAAGGGAATCGTAACAGCCGGATGATACATCGCTCGTTCAATCAGGATACGAAAGCTCGATAATCGCACCATCGCCGAGTATCGGGGTGCACACGCGGCGAGCATATCATTTGTCCAAGATGAAGTTCTGCCTACGTGTAATCGTCGACACTAATGCTTGTCGGGGCGGATCTTGATATAACTATTTCCTGTCTCGAGTTTCCTTTCTGTAACGTCTGTTCGATGTGAAACCGGAGGTGTAGCAATCTTTTTCTCGCGAGCGAGCACGCGCTCTACACTCATCACGTTCTCAGCAATCATCGCGTTTAATACAGCGAGCACTAGGTAATGCGA